TAGGCATGCAAAAAGGCATAGAAACATGACTGACGATTAAAACAAAAATTAATCAATACATATTGACACAGATGATGGAATTTGTAGACAAAGACATTAAAAGAATATTATAATTGAATTCTAGATGTTTAAGAAGCAAGAGCAAAGACTAAACATTATAAGGAGAAAAGTTAAAGATATAAAATATAGATCAAAACCAAATTTCTGAAGATGAAAATTATAATATGTGAGATGAAGAACACACTAGTGGAATGAGTAGCCGTTTATACATTGGGGAAGGAAAGATGAAGATAAGGGCATCACCATTGAAACCACTGAAAATAAAGCACATGAAAAGACAAACAAACAATAAGCAGAGCATCCTGCAAATCAGTGAGGTATAGGAAACATTTAAACAGCCTAATATATATGTAATTGAAGTCTCTGAAGGAGGAGAATAGGGCAAAAACACATTTGAAAACATAATGGCTAAGATATTTTTAAAGCGGAGAAAATTATAAACTTGCAGATCCAGGAAGAAACCGATCCCCAGAACACAAATCCTGGAGAAAATTACACTAAGAGCTATCATAACCAAATTGATGAAAGGCAGTGAAAAACAAATTGAAAGCAACCAGAGAAAATATGTTACATTTAGAAGAACCAAAGGTAATGGAAACAAATTTCTTGTCAAAAATGGTGCAATCTAAAAGACTGTCAAGCAACATTGTAGAAATACAGAAAGAAAAGAACTGAAAACCTAGAACTATTTACCAAGCCAAAAAAAATTTTTCCAAAAGGAAGGCCCTGTGCTTTTTCTGACATACAAAAGCTGAAAGAATTTATTATAGCAGACTTGCACTGTAAGAAATGTTAAAGGAAGTTCATGAAGTAAAAGAAAAATCATACCAGATGGAAATCTGGATGTATGAAGAATGAGTAGCATAAAAATAGTAAAAGATAATTAACTTTTAAGCAAAAAATAGCAATGTACTGTGGGTTTTATAACACTTGTGGAAATAATGTATAGATAGCAGTAATACAAAGGCTAGAAGAAAAGAAAGCAAAGTATGCTAGTTAAGGCTCTTATTCCACGTGTGAAGCAGTAAAACATCACTTATGGGTAGATCGTTATGTTAAGGATGTGTTCTATAAACTCGAAGGCAATGAATCAAATAAAAATAGTTATAGAAATAAATAAACAAAGGAATAAAATGGAATTATGAAAATCCAAAAGAAGGTAGTAAAAGAGGGAAAATAAGCCAATAACAGAAAACAAAAAGAGGAATAGTGACGTTAAGCCTACCTCATCATGAATCTTATGAAATAAAAGTGGTCTTAATATCCAATTAATAGATCATCATATTGGATTAAGAAAAGCATGACTCACTCAAATGCTACACAGACTCCCACTGTAAATATGAAAACCAAATACGCTGATAGTAAAAGGCTGAAAAATGATATACCATGGTAAGACTAATGAAAAGAAGCCTGGAGTGACTAAAAGGTAGATTTCAAAAAAGTTATCAAAGTTGAAAAGAGTAATTTCAAAATAATAAAGAAGTCAATAATCAAGAGTGCATAGCAATTTTAAACATTCAGCCACTGAATAAAAAAGCATCACAATACATGAAGTACGAAAAAATAAAAGGCACTATAAGAAAAGTATAAAAATCCACAATTGTAGCCAGCGATTTCAATAACCTTTTCTCAATAATTAATAGAATTCCTAGGAAAAAAATCACAACACCATCAACCAATTAAAATGAAAACTTACACAACATTATCAACAAATTTGACTTAATTCATATTATAGAACATTCTACTTGACAACAGCAGTAAACACATTTTTTTTTTCCTTTTCCTTTTAACATTTTACTTTCAGTTCCAGGATACATGTACAGAACTTGCAGGTTTGTTACATAGGTATACGTGTGCCATGGTAGTTTGCTGAACCTATTGACCCATCCTCTAAGTTCTCTCCCCTCACTTCTCACCCTGCAACAGGCCCTGGTATGTGTTGTCTCTCTCCCTGTGTCCATGAAATACATTTTTTTTCAAGTGTGTATAAATATTTGCCAAGGTAGGTCATATTCTGAGTCATTAAAAAAGTTTTCAATAACTTAAAAAGTAGCAAGTCATACAAAGTGTATTTTATGACCACACTTAAATAAAACAAAGATATCTTAAAAATTCACAAATATTGGAAACTAAATAATATACTTTTACACAACCCTTGAGTATAAAAGAAATAAAACAGCACATTAGAAAATATTTTGATCTAAATAAAAAGAGAAACACAACATATCAACATTTGTGGAATATGGCTAAAATAGTATATAGAGATAATTTTTTTAGCATTAGACACCCATGTAACACAAGAAAAAAAATCTGTTTCTGTCTTAAGAATCCAGAGAAAATAGAGCAAATGAAACCTGAGGTAAGCAAAAGAAATAAACATAAAAATCAGGAGGTAGAAATGAATGAAATAGAAAACAGAAACACAATAAGGAAAAATAATTAAACACAAAATCTGACTTTTGAGGAGGTAAATAAAATTGATAAACCACTAGCCACACTGATCAGGAACAAAAAATAGAAAACATAAATAAAAGAAGGGACTAATATCGGAAATGAGAGAGTTGTCATCACTCTAGACTACATAGATATCAACAGGAAAATAAGAGGATAGTATAGAAACTTCATGGCAATAAATTTGACAACCTAGTTGAAATGAATAAATTCCTTGAGAGTTATAAATTACCAAAACTCTCCCAATATAAATAATTTGAATAAACAGTTCCATTAAATAAATACATTTCTGGCTAAAAATTATCCCATGTTTAGGTTGCTCCATTGAGGATGTCTATCAAATATTTTAGGAAGAGCCAATGTCAATTTACATGACTTTTTCCATAAATTGAAAAGGACACAATGTTTTCCAACTCATTTTACAAAGCTGACATTACTCTTATTCCAGATCAAGGCCATCACAACATTAAACAATATCCCTCATGAAATTTGACAAAAATATTTTTAACAAGTTTTTAGTAATTCATATCCCTCAAATATGTGAAAAGCATAATACATCATGATCAGAAGAACCTCACCTCAGGAATACTAAATTGGTTTAATATTTGAAAATTAATCAATGTAATTCACCATATTAATGGACAACCAAAGAGGGGAAACCCATACAATCACCTCAATAGACACAGAAATTGTTTTTGAAAGAATCCAACATTCATTCCTTATGTAAATTCTTGGCAAACTTGGAATAGAAAGGAACGTCTTCAATCTGATAAAGTGAAAAACTAAATACTTTCTCCTAAGATCTGAAGCAAAGCAAGGGTATCTGTCCACTCTGAACAGTTCCGTGCAATAGGGGATATGCAATTTGGATTGGATAGGAAGAAGTAAACCTGTGTTCAGTTGAAGATCACATAATGGCCTATGTAGTAAGCCTCTCTAAAACTAATAAATGAGTTTAGCAACCTTGCCAGATACCATATCAATATGTTGATCAATATTTCTATAAATTAATAATGAATAATCAGAAATTCTAATTTTAAAATCTTTTTAATAGTATCAAAACTATGAAAATGTTCATAATAAATCTGGCAGTTATGCAAGGCCTCCACAAAGCATTTCTGAGTTACCATTTGGTATACATTCCCACCAGCAGTTTGGTAGTTTCTTAGTAAGTTAAAAGTCCACCTTCTATGGGAGCTACCATTTCACATTCATTTTTTTGTAGAGAAATGTAGGTATATGTCCATACAGACTTCAGCATGAATGTTCAAGCAACTTTATTTGTAATAGACAAAACTAGAAACAGACTAAAGTTCAATAAGCAAAAGAATAAACTCGTATGTTCATAAAATGTATGCAAATCAGCAGATTATTGATATATGGCTATAGCAGAGATTAAGTGCAATATAGTTATTCCAAGTAAAAGAAGACAGACCAAAAAAAAAAAAGTACATCCTATATGATTTCATTTATATACAATTACGGAAAAAACAAGCTAATTTGAAGTGAAAGATACACATCAATGTTTTCTGGGGACTGGTAAGAGGGATAGGAGGAGGAAATTTCAAAGGAACAGGGGAAACTTTTGGGGCTGATGAATATGTTCATTATTGTCTTCCTTATGAGATTATTTCAGGGGTAATACAAATGTCAAAATTTATCAAATTGTATATTTTTAATATGCACAGTTTATTGTATAATGTCAATTATACCTCAATAAAACTGTTAAAATTACTCACAATCTCACCAGTAAGAGATAATTACCACTAACCTAGTGGTATATTCCTCAGAGTGTACAGGAACCATACAAAGATGATATTTGATTAACTACTTTCATCTTTTAACGATGCATCATGAATACCTTTGTAAGTATACCATGTTAGAGATAAGTTTGTCAGTGATTATACAGAGGCTTACAACTTTGTTCCCTCTTATCACTTACGAATCCACAGCTGAAAAGAGCTCTACACAAATTGTTTATACTGTTTTATGTTTTCATTTATTTTTAGTAGCAAAAACCAAGAAAGCAACCAAAGTATCAGTAAGGAAAAATGGAAATATAGTTTAGTAGTTGTGCATTGGCACAATGGAATATTGTTAAGCAATTAGATATTTCTAACAATTTGGGACAATACTTCTTTTATAATATTTTAATGTAAAATTTAGGTTAAAATCTACCATTGATGGTTGGAAGTACAAGAGATAACATTTAAAAGAGTGGCAAAATGTAAATTAGTATGACACTTGGATACTCTGATACAAGTATAGCAAAAAAATTAGCTGGGCGTGGTGGCATGTGCCTGTAGTCCCAGCTACCCAGGAGGCTGAGGCAGGAGAATTGCTTGAACCCGGGAGGTGGAGGTTGCAGTGAGCCAA